TATCATCAAAAAAAAATATTGTACAAAGTCTACAACGTTTCAAATATATATTATATATATATTATATAAATTATATTTGTTATTATAAACACACCAGTATTTTAGTATTAATAATAATAATAATAATAATAATAATAATAAGTTAATCCGTGTAATCATATAAATTAATACCAACAGAAAAAAATGTTTATATAATTATATAAAAGTTTTGGAAAATTATCAAAAAAATAAATAAAATAAAACTAACTATTAATGTATGTGAAAATAATATATATTTATTAATACTGTATATCATATATATATATAAGTAATTATAATTAAAATGCTATTATTGTTACCCTATTGTTGTTGTTGTTATATTGTATATGTTATATAAAGTGATGATATTATCATTATTATAGCTAAGTTGACATTATATATATATATACTGTATATATTAATTTATTTTTAACTACCGTATCAAATGTGTGTGTGTGTATGAAATATATATATATATATATATATATATATATACGAGTAAAATATATAAATTACTTATATATATATATTTATAAATAAATATATTAAGTGATGGGTGCAGACAATAATAGACAACTTATTTAATTTTTTTAAAAATAATAATATAATATTTATATATATATATAAATAAAATTCAATGTTATTAACGAGTAATATATCTGTATATATCTATTAATAACTAAATAACTAGTAATTATTTTTCTTATTTTTTATATTATTATTGCTTATTATATATATATATATATATATATATATATATATATATATAATTTATTATTCAACTAATTTTATTTATTTATATTTATTTAAATATTTATTGTCTAATAATCACCGGAAACATAGTAATAGTGAAAAGTTTTTTTTTTATATAATAATTATTTATTTTTACTTTTTATTATTATTACTAAAAGTATTTTTAAAAATAAAAGTGATGTCAAACTGTGAGACTAAATAAAGAGAGAGAGAGAGAGAGAGAGAGAGAGAGAGAGAGATAGTTAAAGAAATAGTTATATTATTTAAGTTAAGGGTTTATACTCATAGCTCCTCCGCCGCCGCCGTCACCAATAATAAAGGCGTTCCCCTTAATAATACAGTAATACTATTGTATATATACAGCACCGGTATGTACAGTATAGTATGTAAACTTTCATTAGATGTGGGATTCAAACTGTGAAAACTAAAAAAAAGTTTTTTTTTAAWAAAAGTAAAAGTTTATTATTTATTAATTTTTAGTATATTATTAGTTAACAGTGTGTATATACAGTACTAATAATAATAATAATAATAATTTTTTTTAGTTTTAAATTATTATCAAAAAACAAATTGTCTGAAACAATTTAATCATATTATTTATATTGTATATCAAAATAGTAGTAAACATTATATACTAATAGTATATTAAGTTATAAAAACCTAATAGTTTTTTTTATTTATATATTTATATTTAAAATGTGAACATTTATTATATAAAAATTTTTTTATCGCCTATTATACTGTATATATATATATATATATATATATATTATTATTATTATTTAGTATTTATATATATATATAAATTTTTTTATATATATCTTTAGATATCAATGTATATTATGTTTGTTTTTTTGTGTCGACTATTACTAGTGTAGGAATCGTTTAAGTCATTTATCATAAAAAATATTTTTTATTTAATTTTTTTTTTAAAAATATTTTTAATACATATATATATATATATATTAACTCTTTTTTTATGAATATATATTTTTAAGGCGACAAACATCTGTTTGATTCAACAAAATTAATTAATAATATTTATTTTTTTTTTGGTTAATATAATATAAATTTTCTATAAATTATATATATGTATATATAAAGTATATATCTATTAAAATATTTAAATTATTTTTTTTGATGTTTGTTTGTTTGCTAATTATATATGCAAGTCATWGAAGGGGATKTTAGGATAGATAGAAAAAAAATATTTAAAAATATTATTAATTATTTTTTTGTTGTTGTAAATTTATATATTTATTAAATAATATTTTTTGTTTGTTTTTTCTTTGAAAATAATATTTCAATTTATTATTATWAYCTCCTATTTAGTGACTACTGAGAGAAAGAGAGAGAGAAAAAATCATTTAAAAGTGAAATTATTTTTCAATTGAAACTACGATAGAGAAAAAATAACTAAAATATTTTTTTTATATAAAAAAAGTAAAATATTTTTTATATAAAAAAACAAAAATATTTTTTTTTAAAACATGTGTGATTTGAACTACAAATTATATAATCAACAACAATAAAAAAAGTTAAATAATTTTATTTATTTTTTTGTGATTTTTATTTTCAAACATTTTTKTTAATTGATTTTACTGTTATATTATACCTGCAAACAGTTATATGAATTAATAGTAATATATATATATATATATATATATTAAATCATAATTAAATAAATTTTTATTTTTTAAAAAAATAAGTGACATTTTAATAAATAATAATAATAATAATTTTAAATTATATATAAATATATTCAAGTGGTGTGTATTATAATCCGATAGACATTTATAACATCAAACAAACTAAAAAAAAAACTATTTTCATTGTGTTTGCAAAACTAATTTTAACTWTTTTTTTGGGAAATTTTTTTTTAAWAGTTTTTTAAAATGTTTTATATGTTATTTATTTAACACATACTTGGAGTTTGGTGTTCACCAGAAAAAATAAAAATAAAATTATATTTTRAAAACTAAATAAATAAATATTTTTTAAACACACAAATATTTCACACAATAAACAACTATTTTGTCTGAAAATCCTTTTTTTTGTGTTAATTATTATTATTATTATTATTATTATCCATCCATTTGTCTGATTCATCGTTATGTAAAAATCTCTCGACATATCTATTAATAGATATGTTTTAGATTTTTTTTGGTGACTTTTTTTTATATATCTAGTGATCTCTCAATCATCAGATACCAGTGCCAGATAGTCGTGTAGGACTACCATTACTACTACTACTACTACTACTACTACTACTACTACTACTACTACTACTACAGGGGTGTGTGTGTATAGACACCCAAAAAAAATATTTTTATTATTATTAGTAGTAGTAATAATAATAATTTTTTTTTACTATATATTCAAACAAATACCACACATATATATTATTTAAGACATTTGTTATATAAATAGCTATCGTTTATTGTAATAATTGTTTTTAACACTTAAAACAAAATACCACAAAAATTTTTTTCAATAATCCAATAATAATAATAATAAAGTAATAAATAGATAGTTAAGTATTATATATATATATATATATATTTTTTTGGTGGTGACAATCAATAAGTTAATCAACTCATTCAATAAATATATCATTTTTTATGTGTCTATAAAAATTAATTATAGATTTTTTAAACAAAAAAATAAAATAAAATTTGTTTAAAAATTATTATTATTGAATAATAATTTTATTAAAATCAAGTGTTGTGTTTTGTTGTGTAATATTTGAATTGAATTGATTACACTTGAAATTAATTATTATTAATAATGTAATCAAATTATATGATAATAATAATCATAGTATAATAATAATACTTTAATATTGAAAGTGTATTTATATTACTAATAATAATAATAATAATAATAATCAAATCATATTTAATAATTATATGGAAAATATATATATATATAATATTCAACACATTTATCAATTATTTTTTATGATAAACTATTTTTTTGTTGTTTTGTTTCATAGATTAATAATGAAATAATTATAATAATAATATAAGAAAAATACTGTAAAAATAATATATTGTTTTATTAGACTAATAATAATATTTTTACATAACTACTAACTAAATAAAATAAAAATAAAAGTGATTAAACTGTAATAATTTGATAGTATTATTATTATTATTTTAATATTAATATATAATATATCAAACAAACAAACAGTAAAATATTAAATACTAAAAAAAAAACYTTTTTTTTTCATCATTGAATTGATTTCACTATCGTTTTCATCATTTAATAATTAATTAATTCAATAATTCAATCATTTTTAATCTCATCATCAGTTAATTGTGAATCAAATTTATTTAAATAATAAAGTTTTTTTTAAAATAATAATAATAATTATAATTTTCAAATTAGTTTTAATTTAATAATATTATTAATATTATAAATTACCGGTGATTTTGTAATTTTAATTTTTTTTATTTGTTAAGTAATTAAATATAATATAATATATCATTATATCCATTGATAACAACCATGTGTTACAATCAGATAACTAAATCATTATTATTAACTGTATCACCACTACTACTATTGGTGACCACTTTTGTGATTATCGGCGATACGGCGGCAATCAGTGTCAGGGCCGCTACCGATGCTGCCTATTGTAATCCAAAATTACCGATCAAACAGTCACTCAATCTGGATAGGTATGTCTTTATGGGACAGGGATTAAAATCTACCGGTTATTATCAGTTTGATGGTAGCGGTAGCCGAGGTAGCAGCCGATTATGGCCAGTGGCCGGCGGCAAACAAAAAAAGTTTGACATCGACTCGCTATTTGGCAAAAGTAAGTCAAAAACAAAAAAAGTTTTATTAATTAATTAATTAATTAATTAATTTTTTTAATTAATTCAATCCAACAAAAGACTCGTTTAATTGGTTGGACACGGCTTTCAGTTTTACGTTTCCCGATGACGGCGATTGTGGCCGCGCCGGCAGCAACAGTGACCCGGCCTATTGCCCGGCCATCCGACGTGCACGGGATCTGGTAGTGGTAATCGGTCGACGCCACGGTATTATCGATGGACACCGAGCCTACGGCTATATGACCTATCGGGTGACCAACAGAGGCGCCGGCAAGACTGGTGGGGGTCTCAGTCTATATCCGGTCAGCGATACCGACAGTACGGTCTGGGGTCTGGCCTATAGCGGTTCAATTAACGAATCATTTTGGCCACAACTAGCCGACGGCAGCGAACCTTACTATCATTCGGCAGTATTTGTTGGCCACCGACGCGAGCTATTGTTGTCCGTTTACGATGGCTACCAGTCGGACAATAAACTCATGTCCCGGCGACTGCTAGCCGATGGCCAGTGGTCTGATTGGTCGATAGTGGCCACAACTGGTTGCAACTTTCGCGGAATGTTTGCCATCGGCGGCAGTGGCAGTGGCGGCGGCGCCGGCGGTACTGCCGATGATGTCTACGGTTTTACAAAGACTAACGATTTGTTTAAGTTTGTTTGGACGACACCGCGGGAGTCGACCGGAGCCGCGGATTTGGACACTAAGCTAACATTTGAACCAATTGTTTGTATAATTTTTTTTTAATTTTTAAATAATATGTTTAATACTAATTAATTAATATAATTATAAACTTATATAAAAAAAGTTTTAATAAGTAAAATAATTTAAAGGATAAGATAGGAATAAAAGGGACTAATAGTGATTGTATAGTAAACTTTGTATATTTCAATATCATATTTTTACCGATAATTTGTACCCATTTATTATATATTAATGATTACTATTATATAATACTATTATATAAATTAAATTATATATAAATATATTTTTTTTGTTGAAAAAAAGTTTAGTTAATTATATGTTAATTGAATATAATATTTATTATTAATTATATTTATATTTTAATTGTAATTTAATTAAATTTTAATTATTATTATCATTATTTAGTCCAAATTGAAAGTATTTCTCAACTGTTATGCCAACTCGTCATCACTGCCTGGCTTTAAGACACCGCCGCCACCGACAGTACCTACCAGTCCTGCCAGTCCTAACCCAATCACTACTACTACTGGCGTCCACCCGGAGCTGAACGACGGTATGATCGCACCCGCCGTTCACGACAATGCCGTCGTCACCAATACTACCCACTCCTTGGATGTTACCGATGATGTTACCGATGATGACGATGAGGACAATGATGGCGGCGACAATGGTGTCAATGAATACAACGATCCCAGTCTGGAGGATAAGCCTCTGTGGTCGCCATCATCGGAGGCCAGTGTCAGCGGCAACGGAAGTAGTGGCGGTGGCGGCGGCGGCGGCGATGATGTCAATCAAATGCAAAACAACGAAACCAAACTCAAAGAGCTAATAGACGAGATCAACAAACAGCCGCCGATGGACGCGATGGTCAAGTCGGCCGATATGACGCCCATCTACTTGTTTGCCATTGTCTTGCTATTGATAATCGTTGCCATTGTTGTGGCCATTGTTATCCGTAAGTATAGGTTTTTAGTGTCTGTCTCTCTGTCTCTCTGTCTCTCTGTCTCTCTGTCTCTCTGTCTCTCTGTCTGACAGTTGTCTTATATATCAAACAACAAACAAAAAAAAAGTTTGTATTTTTTAAAAATCTTTTGATTTCATCGATGGTTTGTTTTGTCTGTTTTAGGACGAAAAAAGTCTGCCCGAAGAGGAGTCATGTATATGAATCAGTCGACCAATGATGACAACGACGACAACAACGGTATTGCCGACGACAACTTGAAGACAGTCGAGACAATGCCATTAAAAAGTAGTAAAACTAATAGTAATAATAAGACAAATACTAATAATAATATTATAATTACTAATCATAAGAGAAAATCACAGCAAACTTAAAAAAAAACTTTTTAAAAAAGTTTTTTTGTTTTTGAAAATAATTTTATATATATTTTTTTGTTGTCATTGTTTTGTTATTTAGAAATTAAAGGGAAAAATTTTTTTTTCATTAATATATATGTATTTATATATAAAAAAAATATTATATTTAATTTTTTTTGTTGATATAAATTATAATATATATATGGATATCATATATACAAGTCATAGTAGTGGTAGTCATATAGACATCAATATTATATAATATAATAATAATAATTATTATTATTATTATATAAATTTTATTACTTATATATAAGTTTTGCTGATATTTTCATATAATTTTTTTTTTAATTGTTGTTTGTGTTTCAATGATTCAAACATTTTACATTAAAATTACATTATTTTACATGATTTTTATATTTAAAAAAAAATTTATTACAACTTAACTGTAATTTTAGCTATAATTTTTTAACTATAATTTTTAACGATAATTTAAAATTTATTGTGTATATAATTTATAAGTATATTTTATATATATATAATATAAAATATATAAATCATAATGATATCATTATTATTAACATTAATATTAAATTATTATTATTATTATTATTATTATTATAACAATCATTATATATATATATATAATATTATATATCACTTGCAGCTTATGTTTCAAAATCAAACAAATATTTTTTAATGGATAATAATTTTGTAATTACAGTAAATTTGTTATAAAAGTTATTATTATTATAATAATAATAATATTAAATATATAAAAAATATTTTTACTTACGATCTCAATGATGATATTATTTTCAAACAATAATTTTTTTAAAAAAAATATAATTTAATAGTTAATAATAACTAATGTTTATATATATTTAAAAAAATTGTTGTATTTTATTGTATTATGATATTATTATTATTATATTTTGCATTTTTTTAAAAATCTAATCATCATTTTTCCATTGAAATTGTGTCAAAAACATTATTATTATAATTATTATTATTATTATTATTATTATTATTATATCAATATTTAAAATAACAAATAAAATTAATAATTAAAAAAATAAAGTATAGAAATATTTTTTATTTAAAATACAATATTTATTTGATTATTTGATAAGTAATTTTTAAATATCATATTATTATTATTTATTTAAATAAATTAATTAAATGCATACTTATATTTAATATATATATATATCATATCATATAATTAATACAAATATTTATCTATTAATTTATTGATAATTTGAAAAATATAATAATAATATTAAWAWTATWAATTTATTATTAATATTATTATTTCTATATGAAAAAAACTATTCAAGTGTTAATTAAATATTTATTATTAATAATAATAATTAAATAATTAAATCAAYATTTATCTATATTATTGAAAAAAAATTCAATATTGCAATACAGTATACATACAGTATATCTACTATTAATTAATAGTTATATATATAWAAAAAATCTATACTTTTTTATATTACGATAATTATAATAATAAAAATAATAAAATTATCAATTAATTAATTRATTGAAAAAAATCAACCGATATTTTTACCGATCATTTTTTTTGACCTGACATTTGGCCACAAATTTCGACACACATCGRCCCAGTTTGTCGGACCATTCGGTGAATGGCCGACATCGGCGTTCAATTGGCCGTCCATTCAGGCACTGGTAGTACGMGGAACAGTCCTCAGGGTTACCGAAACTGCCGAAACTGTGCGGACATTTGAATGGCTGATCATTATCGGTGTTGTTGTTGGTGTCGGTGTCGGTATCGGTGTCCTCCGTGTCCACACATTTTAGATGATGTTTGCCATCAATCAGGCAAACCATACATACAATCAATGCCAACCAAAATAACAATTTAATAGCCGTTTTCATGATTATAATTAACACAAAATTTATTATTATTATTAAAAAAAATATGTAATTMAATATTATATTTTTTTTAGTATTTTTTTTGTTAATTAAGTTATATTTTATTTGTTTGTTTGAAATAWAAATAATAATAAAAGTTTTCTATTTATATATAATGCTCTGAAAGTAATAATAATAATAATTATTATTATTATTATAATTATAAAAAACCGCTAATTAACTGATAAATAATATAATAATTATTTTTTTATTTATTWATTATATTAKTTTCTTATATTATTATATTGTTTTTAATACTATTTTTATTTGGTTTTTGTTTGTGTTTATGTGTGAAAAATATTTATATTGTTTTATTTATYTATTTATTTCATAATTAGTGGAAATATTTATYTTATTTTTGCAAAAATAAAAATCTCTTTGATGTTCAAAAAAAATATTAATAAATATTTCACTTATTTTTATTGTTGTTGTTTGATATAAAAGTATTTATTATATCTTATAATATTTTTGTAWTAATAATAATAATAAAAATATTTAGACCTTTGAAATCTCAATAATAAAAAAAATACTAATCATTTAGTTTTGAGACTTATWGTCGCCTTTCAATATAATTTGCAGGTATTTTCCAAACAATTTTTATTTTATTTTTTAATTATTATTAATTAGTTATTAATAATTATTATCAGTTTATATGGTATATCCTTTAGCATCATATGAGTGGTAATCAAAAAAAAAAAAGTTTTATGACTATAATTACTAAATTTAATATAAAAAACATTTTTTTWAAAAACAATAACACAAATGATTGAATGAATTATATATTTATTAATTTTTTTGATAATATATATATATATATTATATGTATATATTTTGCTTTAAGTTTKACTKTAATTACTTAACTTATTATTAGTTATATATTAATTAGTTTTAAATTTATTATTTGAATATAAACTATAGTTTAGTTATATTATTGTTTATAAAAACTAACAGTTAATTAATAGATTTTTTTTTGAAAATGTTGTTTATTTTTGTCTAAAGATAAGTTATTACTTTGTTTTTATCTATAAATATTTAACAAAAAAAATAATAATAAAATAATATTATTTGAGTGATAAATATGGTGTTATAAAAATAATAATAATTTTAATTTTAATTATTATTTTGATTGCAAACTCCTGTATTATAAAAATTATTAATTATTTGTTAATTAGTTATATTGTTGTTTTTATTTAGTATTAATRCTAAATATAGTATCTCTTGAATAAAAAAAAATAAAAATATTAATTATAATAAATTAAAAAATTATAATTAATTAGTTGATGACAATCWTAAAAATAATTATAATTAATGTACAAATAATTTTAATATTATTTTTTTATATTAAAAAAAATAAATAATTTGCAATTAACTTATTGTATAATAATTAAAAAACAAATAAAAACAAACTTCAAAAAAAAWTTTTATAAAAGATTTTATTTTATTTTATTTAGTTATTTATTACTTTTATATWATTAAATTTAAAATAAATGTATTTATATTATTTTTTGATATATTTTTATATTGAAAAAAATTGCACAAAAAAATAAGTAACAGATATGTCAACAACAAATAAAATTCATAAAAAAATATATTCAAAAATAAAAAACAAATAAAACAAAATATGTTATTAATTAAAAAATTTCTATTCAAAAAAATATGTAAATTATTAATGTTTTTCATTATTATTAATATAATACCTAAAAAAACAAATAAATGACAATCAAATAAAATAAAATATGTTTTAAACAATAATAATTAATTATACAAAAAAAATAATAATATTGATTTATGTATGTTTTTTTGTTGTAAAAAAATCCAATCAAAACCATCAAAAAATTAATTTCATATTTATTAAAAAAAAAATTTGTTAAAAATGTTATTTTTATAATTATTTTTGTTTTGTATGATTTGTATATTTTTATTTGAAGTTTATGTGGGTGTGTGTGTGTATGTGAGTGTATGTATGTATGTGTGTGTGAGTGTGTGTGTGTGTGTGTGAGAGAGAGAGAGAGATAGAGAGAGAGAGAGAGAGAGAGAGAGAGAGAGAGAAATTTACTAATCATTTATTTCTATAGTTTATTCACTGTTTTAATTAATTAATTAATTTTCAAAAAAACTAATATTTTTTTTTTAAAACAAAATTTAGTTTTCATCTAATATTGGGGCCAATGATTAGTTATATTAGCTATAAGTATAGTTAAAATTATTATTAGCTAACAGTGCGCACTCGTATGTGACACATATTTATCTAATAATAAAAAAAAAGTTTTAAATTTTATTTTAATTTTTTTTAATTGAAGAGTTAATCTAATAATAATAAGTTATTTTAAGTGACAAACAAATTATTAGTCAAATAATAATTGAATAATTATTTTTAACGAAAAAAAAATCAATTATCATATAATAATTGGTAATTAAAACAACAACAACAAAATATATATATATTTAGTAAAAACAATAAAAATAATTAAAAACTAAACACTGATTATAATTTATATATTAGCCTTATTTTCAAGTGTTGTGAAAAATTTAAAAAGTTTTTTAAAAAAAATTATAATCAATTTAAAAAACATTTAACTACTACTACTAATAATAATAATAAAAACTAAAATTGAAAAATAATTAAATATAGATTTAAATAATTTTTTTTTTGAAAATCAGTAAATATAAAGTGTGTTTGAAAATAATTTCTCAATAACTTATTATATTTAAGTTTAATATAACTTTAATTTTTTTTTAATATATAGTATATATATATTATGTGAAAATATAGTTTATTAATAAAAATAATAATAATAAATACAACTTTTGTTGATATTATTATTATTATTATTACTATTGATATTAAAAATAATAAAAAATAAGTAAAATACTAGTGAATTTGATTAATTGATTATTAAATAAAATATTAATATATGCTATAAATAACTTATATTATTATTACTATAATAAAAAATAAAACTAAAATAATATATAAATATATAAATAAATAATAAGAGAGAGAGAGAGAGAGAGAGAGAGTATTTTAATATAATTATCTAAAAGTTTTTATTTATAGAGAAATTTCATATATTATTGTTATTTTAATTTAGAAATTTTAAATATAACCATAAATTTTTTTATCAATATAAATAAATATATATAAATATATTGATAATAACTATACTTATGTGACAGTAATTTTTATTTTGGTGTTAATAGTAATTTAGTTGACAATAAGTGTCTCAATAATAATATCAACAAAAAATAAATGTATATATAATTATTGGTAGAGAAAAAAAAGTGAAAAATGTTTAGTCAATCGTATCGGTAAAAAAATGCAACAAATTATATATATATATCTATATATATACTGTAATAATGATTATAATAAGTTTATAAACTTTCAATAATAATAATAATAATAATAATTTTTTAAAAAAATAATATTTAGTGAGACTAAAAATATAATAATAATGATTATTATAAATTATATATAGTTTTTAGAGCTTAAATAGTTTTATATTAGTGACAGTGACATACATATTGTTTAAATAATAATAATAATAATATTTATATTATATATATATATATATAGACTAATATACAGACTAAATATAAAATTTTGTTGTTTATGAAAATTAAAAAAAAATGAATTTATTTATTATTATTATTTTTTAATGAGAAAACTATTTTAATGAGTAATTTACAGTTAATTTTTGTTTTGTTTTTTTTTTAAATAATAATAAGAAAAACATTTACAGACCAAATATAGAGTATAATTATTATAGAGTTATTTAAAAAAAAGTTTTTTTAAAAAAAATAATTTAGTTTTTACTAATTAATTTGACTAATAATTGTTTTTTGTTTTTAAAATTTTGTTGAAGAAATTAAAAATTAATAATTTTTTTTATCTATTTTTATGATGAAAGAGAAATAGTTATAAATAGTAAAACATAACAAAAATTATAATTAAAAATAAAATTATTTTGACATTTAATTAAAAAATAATTATTTAATGTATACTATAATATATATATATATATATATATATATTAGTTATAGTCTAAAACTTAAGTAGAAACAAATTGAGAGAAAATAAATTTAATAATAATATTTACAATAAATTAGATGAAAATTTTATGTATATTTTTTGTGTATGTTATATATATATATATTTAGTATGAAAATTATTAAATCAAAATTTAATTAATTAATTGATGGTTGGATTAGCATATAATATGTTTTTAGGGTTTGTTTTATGTAAAATGTAAAATGTTTTGTTATATTTTTTAATGTATTTTTCAAATAAAAAAAATTAGAGAGAGATTTGCAATTAAAGTCTCAAATTATTTTTGGTAATTCAATCAATAGTATTGACACTTAAGAAATATTTATAAAATTAAAAATTATGTATATTTAAGACAATATAGACTATGTTTTATATACTAATAATAATAATAATAATTTGGTATATTTTTTGTTGTTATATGTTTGTTATATAGATTTTTTTCAAAAATAATAGTAATATATATTTCTAATATAATATAAGAGATCACATATATATATATAATATATATATGAAAAAAATATTTGACAACAAAATAATTTTTTTTATGATTTCAATTGAAAACCCTTTTCCTACTATTATTTTTTTTTTTTGGTTAAAATTGAGAGATAAATAAAACTTTTTTTTTAAAAAAAAACACATATAATTAACAACAATAAAAAAATCAAATTAATAACAAACAAACAAACAATAAAAAAAACAAATTATAATAATAATAATGGCTTATAATTTGTTTTTTCAAATTAATTAATTTGAATTATTACTATTACTATTATTTCTATTATACTAAAACTAAAAAATAATATCCAAAAAAAAAGAGAGACTATATTTTGTTTGTATTGTTTTTTTTCTCTATAATTATTATTATTAAAAAAAAAAAAAAATTATTAAAACAACAATAATGTAGAATATTACTAGAAATTTACCGGAAATATACTGACAACAAATACAAACATAACAAACATATATATATATATAACAAACACATATAACGACTAAAACAACAAATATATAATACATTTGCTATCAATGATAACCCGATGAATACTCATCGCCGCCGCTCTGGTCAACCGATTCGCCATTGTATTGACTATCGGGTATGTGATGGTCGTGACCACCACTGCCGCCGCCACCGCCTGAACCGCCTGAACTGCCGCCCGAACCGCCACCGCCGCCGCCGCCACCGCTGGTCAAACTGCTAGCATAGGGACTACCGCTAGACGACCCAAAACTACCGAAACCGCTGACCTGAGACTCGTGGCCGCCGTAGTCCTGGTAGTCGTGATGTACACTAAATAATGTAATAATTAAAATAAAATTAATTAATATTTTTATTATATTTTATTTATTTATTTTTTTAAGAAAACCTATTAATAGTATACTATAATAATAATAATAATACTTATAATTATGTGAAATAGGATCTAATAATTATGTTATGTTATAATAAGTAATAATAATATAATAATTATTATTATATTTATGTCTAAATATGATTATTTAATTTTTGTGTTTTATTTATTTATTTAGTAAATAATTTTATTTTTCGTGTAAAATATGAGTTTAAAAAATATTTTATTATTATATATTTTATGCTCTAAATTGTTGCCATAAATAAATAAATTAATTATTATTATTAGTTCTCATCTGAAAAAATATAATTAAAAAAATATAATAATTTTTTTATGTGTGTGTGACATAATAYATATATATATATATATATATATATATATATATATATATAATGTATATATATATAAATAAATAACATTAGTTGTTATTTTTAAAAAAATATATTTTTTAAATGACCATTTAATTATTTTTTAAAAAATATAATTTTTCCACCAAAAAAACACACATAAAATAATAATAATTATTATTATTATAAAACACACACACACACACACACATAAAAATAATGTAATTACATAATGATAATAATAATTGTTATATTTAATAATTGTTGTGTAAATATATAAATATATATATATATATATATATATACTGTATATATATAAACCATATTTCGCAATGTTGTGAATAAATATTGTTTGTATTTTCTTATCTAAAAATAACTTTTTTTAAAAAAATTTTATTATTTTTTTCAACCAAAAAAAATTAACTTATTTAAATATTTGTTAATTATTTTTTTTTGTTTTRTTTGTTTAATTGCTTTTATRATTTTTTTTGTTGTTGACTAATTTTGTTTGTAGAAAAATCATAAATATATATATATATATATATATATATATAATCATAAATATTAATTAGCCTATTTATATTTATAATTATTTATTGTACAATAATTATGATATTATTATTATTATTATTATTAGAATTTATATCATATATTATGTATTTTTATAATTATTTTTTTTGTTTCTCAAAAAAATATAATTATTAAGTAACTTTATATATAATTTTATATATATATACTTTTTAAAAAAATTTATACAATTATTATGAGTGTRTATTAATTGAAAACTAATGGTTAATAATAGTTGYAATAATAMTAAAATAAATATTTTAAAATGATTTTTACAGTATATTTGCTAAATAAATAATAAAAACAATTACWGTATTACTAAACTATTTTTAAAAAAAACTTAAATTAATTAGTAAATAAAATTATCATCTAAATTATAAATATAATAATATATTTATAGTATATAAATAAATCAATAAAACAACTACACAAAAAAAACAATTATCATAATAATAAAKTTATCTAATAATTTATTTACCCACTAATAATAATAATWTAWTTTTTTTAAATTGCTAATCTAATCTATTATGTAATATTAACCAAACAAACAAACAAAAAAAWTTAGTTTATAATATACTACTAATAATTTTGCGGTTTTTTAAATATGTAATTTAAATTTATCATTTATAWATTGAAAATTATTTTATCTAATATGTAATAAAAGATAAYMTAACCATAAAAAATAACTAATAATATAMTATACTATACTATARATMATAGATTATTAACTAATTKTSTGGTAATTAATTTAAGATAATTTTTTTTAATGTTAAATAATTTAAATYTATATTATTATTATAATTAATTTAACTAATATTTWGATAAAATTACATATGTAGATTAGATAACTATTATTATTATTATTACTGTAATTTTAAAATCATATATATAATYTTTTCACACATAAAAATTTAGTTTTCAAAAAACTATTAGTTAAAACTTTAAAAAAATTTCATAATTTTTTTARAAATCTAATATTACTAATAAACTTGAAATTATATCAAATCTAAATCATTTAATTTAATAAATAAGTTTACTATCAAAAAAAAACATATTATAGCTAAAAACAATTATATTAAWAATTATTATACAGTAAACTATATATATAAATATATATATATATATAGATATGTTATAATAATGTTTTTTAATATATATATATATATATAAAATAAAAAATATATATWTTTTRATCATAACTTACGGCATCATATGTGAAGCGGATGAATAGGTAGACCTCAATGGACTCAATTGGCTTAGYTGTGAATAACTTGAACCCAGAGTACCGGAGCCCAGACTCGACCCSAGWGCCGATCCGAGACCAGACGGACCACCGCTAAGCGCGGAACCCATGGGTGAAACACCGGCAGCCATAGCTGCGGCCAGCGATGCGCCCAATYCGGTCCCATACTCGAACCGGCGGCCAACGACCCGAACGGCATACCGGGCGGCGGTCCGAAAGCGGCCGACGCGGGCATAGGTCGCGGWCCGAAYGCTGCGGACATCGACATCGGTTGCATCGGACCGTACATTGCCGCTGATGGTATGCCAGTCATGATCGGATAGGGCATGTACTGTACGGCACGCATCTGCTGACCTGACCACCGATGCCTACCGTTCCCGACTGAGCTCCTCCTCCTCCGCCGCCACCGCCAGTGGTCGTACCCGTTGTGTCCTTGTCTTTGTCACCGTCTTTGTTGTTGTTGTTGTTATTATTATTATTATTGTTGTTGTGATTATTGCCACGCAATCGGTTTATCCATGAATTAAATTGAGACATAAAACCCGAGCCGACTGTCGTATTGCCGCTGCCGGAGCTCTGSGCYTGCAATACATGTGCCGATGAACACAGTATACATAAGCCGGCCATCAATAGATGATATCTTGATTTTTGTTTCATTTTKTTTTWAATGATTTTTTTTTTTTATAACTTTTTTCCCAAAAAAAAAAAATCAAATAAGTTGTCGTAAAAACTTTATATAATATATTTTTTTTCYGAACAAAACAATTGACAATTAATKTAAAAAAAAACTTTTTATATTTACAAATGCAAAAAACTTTATTAAWTTTTTTATATATATATWTTTTAACCAACAAAAAAAACTTTCAAAAAAAAATTATTTGCACAGTTAGGTTCAGGTTAGGTGTGTGTGTGTGTGTGTGTGTGTTATGTGAATGWCTATAACTTTATCCACATATATATATATATATATATCAACATTGAGACCACAATTGCAAATGACTTGATCTGYAAATAGTTTCAACAGTTTTTATAAACTATATTTCATATAAACTGTCTGTAAAAATAATAATAATAATAATAATAATTAACAAACAAAAAAAATTCATATAATTTTTAACTATCTCTCTCTCTCTCTCTCTCTCTCTCTCTCTCTCTCTCTCTCTCTCTCTCTCTCTCTTTGCTTACTTAACGACCCACTAATGAACGGTGTGTTCACTRTTTAATTTAAATACATTAATATAAATAATAATAATAATAATACTAACGGTAAGCATACTAAGCATAGTAATAATAATAATAATAATAATAATTTATATATATATATATATATATATATATATAAATTATGAGCCATTGAGCCGTTAGTKTTTTTTTGTTTGCTGTGTCGGTCGTCACCTCCTTTTTTTCTGCTCAATGAACTAAATTTCACTATAAGTTTTTTAAAACAGTAATAATAATAATAATAATAATAATAATATGTAWGAAACAAAATTAAAAAAAATTTATGGACTTTTACATAACATTATTATTATTATTACTAAAATAATGAAAACGTGATTTCATAGGCCTTAAACATACATACAGTACTGTATTATATACAGTATATATATATATATATATATATATATTAATATTACACACACGACTACTAAAAATAAGTTACAATTATTATTATTATTATTATTATTATTATTATTATTATTATTATTATTATTATTATTATTATTATTATTATTATTATTATTATTATTATTATTATTATTACAACAACTACTACTACTACTATTACTATTACTACTAYTACTAYTAYTACTACTACTACTACTACTACTACTACTACTACTACCTGTGCAAACACCAGCACAGGTATCTCTCTCTCTCTCTCTCTCTCTCTCTCTCTCTCTCTCTCTCTCTCTCTCTCTCTCTCTCTCTCTCTCTCTCTCTCTCTCTCAGAGAGACACGCCTTGAATTAGCTCAACAATTAGCGGCTGTACTCTCAACCCGTCCTTAAACTTGATGTTGCATTCAATTTGTATCWGTTTTTTTTGGTTKTATAWTATTTTWTTTTTGTAATTTTTTKTAWTATTATTATTGTTGTTGTTRYTGTATATTAAAGGAGAGGAAATTTTTTGTTATTTTTTACATAAATTAAAAATATATATATTTATATTATATTATATATAWATATATATGATTTTTATGTGTTAGTATTAAAATAATAAAAAATTATAATTATTATATAATTTTAAGTGTAACAACACATTTACATAATTTAATATTACAATTATATGATTTTTTTTGATTTATCAAAAAAATATCAAATATTAATAATATCAATTCAAATATATATATATATATAGGAAAWTGCTTTCAATTTATTTTTTTAATTATTTTTAGCCAAAATATATTTTTTAAAGTTATAATTTGTTATTATAATACAATATTATTATTAAAACAATTATGTGAAAAATTCATTATAATATTAAAAATAAAATATTAATATATACATAATAATATTATTTTTAGTATATTTTTGTTATCTATTTATGTCTATTATAACTTTATATATACTAAATGTAGACTTTATATACATATATCTAGTATATATATATTATTTGAAATGTTAGATAATAGAGAGCTATTTTTATGTCATTTAATTTTGTATTTACAGTATTAATATATATATATATATATAGTTAGAAATTTAAAATAATTTATTTTTTTTCATTAAAATAATATGTTATTATTAGTGTATTGATTAATAATTTTTTATACTCTATGAAATAGTTGTTATAATAGTTGCTAAAAAAGTCAAATAGTTGTTAAAATAGTTATTTAGACTGTATTAAATAGTTGTATATAGTTTCCAAAAAAGCCAAATAATTATTGAAATAGTTATTTATTTTCTTATAAATATTTCAACTGATATATAATTCAGTTGTTTCAGTATATTTACAAAAATTATTTACAAAAATTATTTATATAAATAAACTAATTATTACTATTGTTAAAAAAGTATGAGTTTGAATGAGTTGATAACAGTTTACAAATTTTATATAATTTATATGACTATTACTTTTTGTTTTTACATATATTTGTGCTTAATTTTACAATTTTATACTTATATTTTTCAAAATCATTGAAATAGTTATTTATAAGTTTTTATAGTTGCTAACCCAACAAATAGTTATTTATATATAATAAAATTTCGGAAATAATAACTTTATATTTCCCAGTTATAAGCGTTGAACCGACAAAATAATTTTTTTAGTTGGAAATCAAGACACTAGTTATTATAAATATATTATATATCTATATATATATAAAACATGATAATTAATATATCATATAACACTCCTCATGAAAATTTTGGGTCAAATTTATACACAATATATATATATATATATATATATATATATATATATATATTACAAATAATCAGTTTAAAAATATWTTWTTATTATAATTTGGTTTTAAAACAATTTRTTTTTTCTTCAAAAAAAAAACAATTTGTAATTAATTATTACAAAATTAATTATAACATTTGYTAAATATATATATATATATTTATACAATATATTCTAAATTTAAAATTTTAATTGAATTAATTATTCAATACATTTGCTAAAATTTTTTTATTATTATTATTATTTTATTTATAGATTGATATCAAATAATATATGACTTTCATAGATAAATATATAAATTATTATTTAGTGAGAAAAAAAAATAATAATATAATACTATATTTAGTACTATAAGAAAAAAATAATATTAGTTATCATAAGCTTTTAAAAAATAATTAAAACATATTTTTATTTATATATATATATATATTTATTTTTTTTGTTACAAATAAAAAATAATAATCAGGTTAAGTTTAACTTATCATATATGTATCTATGTTGAGTTARAMAAAAATATGATAATATTAAACTTAATATTATTGTTATATATATATTTATTTTTTAATTTAAAACAAATTCAAAACACGTATATATATATATAGACTTGTTGTTTAAAACAAATGTAAACAAATTATTTTAATTATTATTATTTAATATTTTTATTTTCTAATAATTTATATACAAAAAATAAAACAAAAATAAAACCAAAACCTTAAATAAAAATTATATTTATTTATATTTATATAATATTATTATAATAATAATAATATCTTTACACTTGATTTAATTTTTTAGCTATTAATTCTCATCTAATAATAGATAATAATAATAATAATAATAATAATAAATAATATAAATTTAGTAATTGATATTCAAATACTTTATATATATATATATATATATATATATATATATATATATATACAGTATATTAATATATTGTATAAGTTTAATGATTTTATAGTTTAAATATATATATATTTATTAAAGTATTTATATTTTTAAAATATTAAGCCTTTAAATGATTCACATCTCTCTCTCTCTCTCTCTCTCTCTCTCTCTCTCTCTCTCTCTCTCTCTCTCTCTCTCTCTCTATCTCTATGTTAGGCAATGGTATGTCAAGTGTGACAACCGTTTTGAAGGCAACAACTCTTTAATGCCTTTATATATATATATATATATATATATATATATATATATATATATATAACTGTATATATATATATATATATATATATATATATATATATATAAAGATATTTATGTTTTTTTTATTATGATTATTGTTTTTTTTATGTGTGTGTCTGTTAATCATTATATTAGTAGTCTAATTGAGTTTCACTTAAAAATCTTAAACTAAATTATTATTATTATTATTATTAATATTTTAAAGTTCATGAATATGGATAATACTTAACACTATATATATATATATATTATTTGTTGTAAATATAATTAATGCAAACATAAACAATACATTCAAAAAAAAAATTTTGTTAATTATAAACTATATATAAATGTTAGTTAAATTTAAATAACTAAAAATTATATATTTATTTATRATTTATGTTTTTTTTAAAATGTATAACATTTTTTTGTAATATTGAATATACAGTATATTTTTTGTTATGAAATTTGTTTTTTGATATTTATTTCTATTTATATATTTAGATATTTATTAGTTTATTTATTCACTAATATATTAAATTAATATTTTTTTTAGTATAATCTAATGTATATACACAAAAAAATATTTTCAATTCAATTATAAGGCAATAAATTTTTTTGATCATTAAAATTGCGATTACTATTACTAATAATAATATTATACTTAATAAAAAAAATAAATAGATAAAAAATAAATTTTAATATTAAATAAATATATATTTATATTTTTCACAGCCATAAAAAATTATTGTCATATATAATAATAATATATTTTATTATCAATKATTAGTATAAGGATTTATAGTTTTTATTTTTTTTTAAAGTTCATTGACATTATTATTATTATTATTATTATTATTATTATTATTATTATTATTATTATTATTGGTGTTAATAAACATATAGCAACAAMAAAAAAACAAAAAACAATTATTACTATTACTATAATTATTGTTGTTACCTATTATTACAGGTATTATTAGTATATTAGTATTATT